TATATATATATATATATATGCAGTTTGCATAGTCAGTGACAAGCCATTTTGCTAACTCACTATACCATATAAAATCCAGCTTCATCTGCTAAAATTAAAGATTATAATCCAAGTTTTTATTTTGCTAAATCTTTGAAGAGCTTTTGGTACTGAACAAGCTTCATCTGCTGAAATTACAGAATCTAATCCAAGTTTAGATGTTGCTAAGATCTTTGAAGAGCTTTTGGTACCGAACAGGTTTCATCTGCTAAAACTAAAGATTCTATAATCCAAGTTTAGATGTTGCTGAAATCTTTGAAAAGCTTTTGGTACTGAGCAAACTCAAGCATTCAGAACAAGTGTATATAATTTGCTTTCAGAATAAACAAATTAAAAAAATGTAAACTGGACATGATTTATTTAATTCAACAGTAAATTACATTGCAATATGGGTTGGCGGAAGATTAGAGTTCTGGCATCAACAACCAGATTACACACGACAGAAGGATCATTATATGGATTATTGCTCATAACATGACCCTGGACCCACAGGTGCCCTTCTAGCATAAAAATTCTTCACAGGAGCAGCTGGAACCCCTCGTTTATTCAACAGACATCTGAAGTTTTGCAACCGAGGCAATGCAGTTATGGTAACATTTTTTGAGGAAGAATCTCTCTGACTCCATAAGCGTTCTGTGGTAAACAAGGAGTAATTAGTTTTGCATAATCAAGTTCAGCAGCCAGCATTTTCCAATCAAAAGGAAACTTGATACAGGAAGAGGCACCTCTATAGAAAATCGGATGAATAATCAAATATATAAAATGCACTTCATATGGCTTGATTATGTTACCTTTACACACACACACACAGAGACAGAAGAGAGGCATAATTTTCATTTTATAGAAGAGGGACACTGAAATCTCTACTACCTACTCTCTGGAACAAAATCAGTTATTATATCAGGAAATGACAGTAGGATGCTCATTACCTGATACATTTTCCTTAGAACCACTACTAGGTTGGAAGACATATATGAAAGAGTTAGTAATAATACTATAAGTACACTACAAGAATGTTAGCATCAGCAAGATTTGCCAACCTGCAGCTGCAGCAGCTCGAGGCCATATTGTTTGCTGAACATCGGATGTATCAACTGTCTCGGCCCACATGCAAACTTCTCCTCCAATTACAAGCTCTTGTTCAGAAGCTTTTTGTATTCCTTCTAGTGGCTCAGCAGTATAGACCTCATCCCAAGGTACATCCAGATGGTCAAGATACCAGACACCCTGGTTACTGTAAATGCAC